CCAATTTCCTATACCTTTTCGCAATATGACATACCGTTTCGTTCGACAGGGTGAGGCAGCTTTTCTTGCAAAGTTTATATTCTTGCTCACGACATCGTTCTAATGAGTTTTTTATAAACAATCTTTTGGTTTACTCTGAAGGGATCGTAGGCTTGCTCTTTTTCCTTCTAACGATTGATCGAATTCCGTTTTGACCAGTTTGAAATTTCTGCTTGGATCGCATGGATTACTCCAGTCCAGGGCTGCGGCGATTATCCGAAAAACTCGTATCGACGATTGACGTCTTTAGTTTGATGGGCGTGCTGCGGCGGATTGCTTGGGAACTGCCGACGAGCGAGGATAGGCGAATAAAGGGAAACATGGGAGGCCAATCTTTCTTTCTCAGTACTTACTACCATTAACTCTTTTAGGTCACAGTTCACGGTGATTTCGAGGTACCCTTTTCAAGCTGAAACGCGAAAGTATTAATTAATGTTAAAAATAAAGCATGCGTGGCTAAGAAAGAGAAAGAATTTGCCGATTACCCATCAAAAGAGTAGTGGAAGTAGAGGTTGTACGAGATGACCATGACGGTAATGGCATGGAAAAGGTATAGGATGAGATTTCAGCTGCTGCATTTACTCAAAAAACTGGCTGAATTGAACCAAAACTGTCCAAATCTTCCCTCCACTGTCACCATGGGTCACGACTTGTTGGTTACTCTGCGATGCCGTTGAAACTCGTTCGCCTTTGCTATGGTCATTTTTAACTTTTACAACACTCAATCTAGCCCATTTTCCGAAATGACAGTGCCACAGTGGTACAAGAGGGAGCTAAATCATTCCACGAGGTTATCCCCTGAACCATATTTATCGCGAACTTTACCTACAGAGCGAGAAGAGCCTTAGATGCACTCAGGGCTCAGCATTCTTCCTGTTCAGCTCGATTCGATCTGATCATTTAGGTACAGCAATTATATGTAGATCTCCCACGATGGGAACGACATAACTTCTGTGCAATACATAAAGATTACGGGCATATTCCCGTTTGCTCCTGTAGAGCTAATGTTTCCCCATCCACTTTAATTATCTTTGTACGAGAAGAAACCACAGCCTTTGGCACACGAAACGAGGAGTGATAGTCATCGCTCCCCGACGGAACGCCTTTTTCCTTTTCTTTTTCATGCTGTCCCAAGGCCAGGTCGACAATGACGATGACATTTCTGGGAAGCTCATTACTGTCACGAAAACTTGAAAGCGTAGCGTGAATATAATAGATGGAAGACAAGGCAGCCGCTCACATACTATTGTTTTCTACATGAAGAAGAAGTTATGCAGCGGTACGGTTCTCATTGGTCTTTCCCTTGAAGGGCGCTTAATTTAGATTCTTTTTCCAGTTGCGGTAAATATTTACATACGGCCTTTAATGAACCACCCATTGAGAGCAATAAGTTCTATTGATGACACGGACGGCTGCTTTTTTCTCATTTCCTTTCTTGACTCATTTCGTAGCTTAGGCATTCCGTACCCAGCAATGTACACAGAAGTGGTCTAGGTTAGCGTTTTTACAAGCCATAACCGCCCTACCAATGAAAATATTATTCCCCATTGCTTCTCTATCTAAGGAAGCTGCAGCTACTCTCGTGCTAGCCAGATAACCCTTACCTTCGATCGCAACGATGGCATCGACAAGAATCGAATCTGTACTGTTTAGTCACTCAAGGAATGACGGTTTTTTATCGGCTCGTTAAACTCAATATTATGGGTCCTTCACCATAATTGTCTCAATCCCCATGGGTTTGGTGTTCTCAGGTAAGCGCATCTTGATGAAGGAAAAACTAAAATAGCCGCTGGTCTTCTCAGACCAATTTCAATGGGATACCACCAATTTCTACAATATAATCCCCCACCTCAGTCGTCTTCGCCACTCCGCTTTGCACCGCTCATATTCATTACTAATTGTAAGGACCAGAGCTCTAATGTCATAGATATGAAGAAAAATTCGAAAATTAGGAATAGACTGCTGGATTTGATGGCAATTACTTTACAGCTATCATTATCATTCATTATCATCCACTATCAGCTCTGGTCCTTGCTCCTGTTATGGATAAAAGAACGATTCGAAGATCAAGAAAGCGCACTGCTGAAATTAACGGCAATTACCTCACAGTATCATTAACATTCATTATCATTTCCTATCGCTTTGTATCCTGAACACTGCGTTGGAAATGAAAAAAAAATTGGGATTTTTTTGTCAAATAAACATATGCACAGAAACATAAACATATGCACATTCACACCTATATACCGGTATCGGTATGTCGAAACGTATGGCATGGTATCAGCACTGCATTGGATTGTGGCTTGCACCAGAATCTTGAATAGGTCCTGATTAAAGCTCTTTTTTTTTTTTTGATAGAATGAGCGTGCATGTGAAAACGCTTGTTCTGATACAATTTTGTTTGTTTTTTAAAATTTGGCAAGATTTCGTAGATCCTATAAATTTTTGCATGTTCAGAAATGATAGTGTAATTTAATCGTTTCCTTGAATCCTTATTATAGAGAAAACGAGGATTCCTTTCATATTGTTCTCCTTGAAGAGAAGTCTTTTCGCAAAAGGTTTTTTAGTGACCAATAGCATGCCTTTCAAGTGGAAGTGCTCGACCCTTTCATAAAAACTGTTCGAGTGCAATAGTCCAGTCTTTACATAAGAAACATCATAAAAGTCGATTTTCAATGATTCGATAAATTTTCTGAGATCTCAAAGTGGCCGACTCTTCACCACTTTCTCTTTCCTCGGCTTTTTTGGAGACCGTGATTCAGAAATCCTTATTCGATCCCATTCAAAAGGGCGTCTTACGATGAAAGCTCTTCTTTTTGCATTTCATTAGAAGTTGTGCGGTGAACAAAACTTCGATTTTTTCACGCCATAGGTTAACATTGAAAAGGGAACAGGAAGACCAGAAAAAGGGAAGCTTAGCGTTAAGTATTCTTGTTTGTTTGTAGTTGGGAATATTCTTTGATCTATCCTACACGAATTGTGAAAAGGGGAAAGGGGAAAGGAGGAGGAGGGGAAGGGCGAATGGGAGGTGGAGTGGGGACTTGGAGTGATATCAATGTAAAGGTTTTTTAGACGAATGTTATGCAATGGTATCCATAAAATCAAGTTTTTTTTCTACATTTTCATCACCAATATTACCACCATTCATCACGTAATTAATTTTTTTTTACATTTCACTTTCTCTAATCATCAATAGCGCAGCCACTTTAGTAATTGCAAGAAGGATGGCGGGCGAGCATTCCCTCTTCGTTTTTGGGAAGGCTTGAGCTCCAATATTAGTACCAATTCCATAAATAGCAGTAATGAAGAAAAGAGCTTGGAAAGAAGTATTCATTTTCTTCGCTTTCGATTTCTGCCTATTTTTGAAAATGTTAAAGAAAAGGGGTGCTACATATTACGACATCGATTGGTACAATGTTCTACAACTTAAGAAGCAGATCCTAGGGGACCAAGTTGATGACTACCATGACTTTCCCCGATCACAATGATTTTTTTCTAGCAAGAATCGTCTCCATTCAGTTCCTGGGTTACACAAGCCACCGATGACGAGTAGTTGCGCTTCCTAGTTGAAGCAATTTTCAGTAGATTTTCAAAGTCGATGCTTTTTAGTGAATATCCCGTAATTCGCATGGTTGTATGTCATCATCTGTGAACGAATAAATTCAAAATCTTCTGTCTCCCTCTGCTAACAACTCAACTTCGCTTGAAAACCATTTCATCAATTCGACATCCATCTGTGAATGACTTTGAATTCGTTCACCAATTCTTGCTCTCTTTCCATCTGCGTAGCTCTTTAAACTTCCGTTTTTCTATTTAGAATTGCATAGCGACAAGAATCTTCAGGAATCTAGGACGGCCTACATGGTGAGACGTTTTTAATAAAATGGAGATATGCACTACAAATTCGTCTACGACGAGTCTCAATGTGGAAACGGTAAGTAACTCCCGATTGTGTTCAATTCAAACTTCAAAGCCGTATAGACTTTTCATTTGATTCATGAAGCAGATAAATCAAGCGGTTTTGAAACCACCTGAGTCGTAATTCGTTCCAATGACTCTGAGAATGTTTCTTTTTTAATGGAAAAGAGTGCTCTTGCCGATATAAAATTGCTTCTGAATGTTGAAGATCTTCATCTTCATGAAGGAGTGCCTTTACTTTCTCTAATTTTCCGTTGCTTTCCTTTTGTACTTATCCACTTAGGCTGCATTTAGCAGTTTCCGCGAATCTGTGCGTAAGGGACTTCCTTTATCTCCACATTTTTTGAATCTATCCTGAGACCTAAAAATAAGACCGCAAGCCATCGTAAAACAAGTTAAGTACTCAACATGAGGCTGCGAAAGCACCTGTAACTGAAGACCATCTTGAAAGCATCCACAATGTTTTCGCCCTTAGCTTTCCACATTTCACGGGCTGTTTTGTATGGGTCCATTCACCCGCAGAAAATAACATGAGTGAAGGTGAATCTCGCTTCTCCATGGAGCATATTAAGGTAAACTGAAATGAAGAGGAAGGAAAGTAAAGGAAGTAACTGCTCAAATAGGCGTGTGAGAAAGAATGACTCACAGCGAGTCTTCCATTGCTCTGGATTTGATCATCTGTAAGCAATCTTGTACGGGTAAACAAAACACTAATCTGTACATCGATCAGCGCAGTTCAGCTCCTTGACTGGGACGCATTAACCCCTCCAGATATCACCACATTTTTTATCTAGGAAGTTGATTGAGTAGTACATTCTGGAGGGTCGAGCAACGCCCCCCAACATCATCCTTTTCTCAATTTTTGCCCTCAAAATCTGATTTCTACAAATCCACGGTGAAACTGTTCTGTTATAGTAACCTAGGTGGAAATTCTTGCGTATTCGAGGAACAGTTGATCAAATGAATTCTGTCCAATTGAATTGCTGAACCGGAAACACTCTTTTTCTCGCATCCATTCTTAAGTGCAGTTCTCTTTTTGCTGATTTCATATTAAATATCTTATTCTTTCCCTAAATATACAGTGAGGGATTTTACAAAGTCTGAATTTTAATGTGAGATTTTGATTTTTTCTTATAGAAGGGAGGTGGTTAAGCTCTTGAATATGCATTTTCCAAAATTTAGATGTAGTGCTTTCAGGACAGTATCACTAGTCAAGGAAAAAAGATTTTGAAAGAAGGAGGAGTGCAGATGACATCACTGACAACACTTCTCAGTCATCATCGTTACCTGTTCCTTTACCACGACACTCTCGTAATTTCAAAGCAAAAGTAAGTCGAAAATGTAAAGTAAAGAGAAAGAAAAAGCGTTTTGTATGGTCCCATTACTCTAATTAGGTGTCTACCTAACGCTCTTGAGTGAGTGCAAGGAAAATGAAAAAAGTAACAAAAATTTGCTCGAGTTTCGCTACGATAAGCTGTGCTACCTTCTTGATTGTTCAAGCTCAGTTTGGGCAAGAAGGATTGGNTGGTCCCATTACTCTAATTAGGCGTCTACCTAACGCTCTTGAGTGAGTGCAATGAAAATGAAAAAAGTAACAAAAATTTGCTCGAGTTTCGCTACGATAAGCTGTGCAACCTTCTTGATTGTTCAAGCTTAGTTTGGGCAAGAAGGATTGGTTGATGAGATTTATTTTCATCACTTACAACTGAAGAGAAAAGTGATGGTTTTTCACCAAAGGCTCTTAACAGAGGCTAACATCTTTTGGATGAGTNAGTGCATTAGCCTTTTGAATAAATGAAAGCTCAAAGGCGAGACTATCGTCAGTTGGATCACCACTTGGGCGGCTACTACATTTCTGCTATTTTGGGGCAATAACTGGCTCGAGAATGATTGATTACGGTCATCACTGTTCTTTCAAGTATTATAAGATTTTAGTGATAGTGTAGCAGTGATGAGAACTTACCAATAGTTTTTCCTTTCAAAAAATGTATCCTGTGTATGAAAAAGTCTTATCTCTTCAGTGTCCGCACAAGCCGCCCATTCTGTGTAATGTTAGGCCCGTAGTAGTCATCCATTCTTTTTGGCCTAAAAACCATCTTTTTCGTCAAAATATTCTTTGAACAAAGCTGAAGCACCTCCTCATGATGATCCCTTACACCAGTCATGTCATTTGATATAAAACACTGCTGAAGTCTACTACTGACTACTACTGGGTCGCTTGATTCTGTTCAGGGCACGGATGTATTTGCAATGTCGGTCAAGTAATATATCGGAATGAAGTTGGCCAGTCTCATTTCAGAAAGGGGCACCAAGCGACTCTCAGATCGCAAGGATTAAGAGGATTGCGGAACTGAAGATTGCCGAAATTGTCACGGATTGTCGATAGTACATACTCTGACACTCCTCCACCTTGACCTTTCTTTTTTTCACGAATCGCACTGGCTCGCTCAAGAACTTCTTTTTGAGTGTTATTCCATCACAGACGAAGGGTGTTATCTCAATGACAACCAAGATTGTCGAAGTGATCTCCTCTTCTCCACTCGCCTTCTTCAGTGCGGCGGTCCAAGGGAAAGCTCTATGCCAGCCCAGAGCGTTGTGTGATTTCANATTTCAGAGGTGCATGCAGTTATAAGCTGAAGGAAAAACTGCGTCTGAATCGTGTATGGGTGGCATCGTCGAACTCGGCAGACTCCTTCCTGATCGGATGGCCGTTTTGTAATTACCTTGTGCATTTCAGGTAGGCTTATACTTTTTGAGCCGAGTTCTTCTGCGGATTTATGTTGTTTCCGTACTTTTTTCATACGTTTTTACCTTTGTCTGACTGCCGGTCGTTACTGGGCACATTACGCGAAGTATGTCTTCATATGGCACCGATGCGTGATGTGGAGAAACAATAAAAGTCAGCTGTTGGAATCAAAACAAAATTAAACGTACCTTGAGGGGTATAGGATAGTCCTAAAATGAGAAAAGGATGGCCCCTGAGAAATGAGGTCATCAGTAGGATTACCACCTTTTCAAAAGGGTTTGAAAAGACTCCTATTCCATGTGATTATGTATTTTTCTTTGATATTTCGCAGCGACAGCCATGCAAGGCAGCAGTAATCGTTCAAGCGCACACCACTTTTGGGAACCAGTTAATACCCCGAATAGGACAAAATAACTTGGCAAAATAATGCTAAGTAAGGAAACATAGCGTAGCAAACTTAGAATTCTTACCTTTTCTGTCGCGATTTCGCAGAAATTCGTAATCGAGAATTGAAAAATTGAGACCAAAGTATCGGAGTGTCTGAAATTCCAAGTTTTGTCTTGTAGCTTGCTAGCCATGTGAAAATGCTATGTAGAAGAATCCTGAGTAGGTACAAATGAGTGATGAGCAACAGCGTGGTCCTAAATTACCCGAATTCTATGGTCTTCATTGAAGGGCTCTCCGAACGCTGACCTCAGTGGTTGTTGAGAGGCGAGAAACTATTTAAATCAAAAGTCACAGGAATGACAGCTCTTTATAAGAAAACTGAAACACACCTTACCGAGTTTCCCGTCTTCTACCAACATGGCTTGGTCATCGTCGTCTTCCCCATGATGCACTGTTACCTTTTAAATGCGCCTATTTCTCCAGCTGTACATGATCTTTCTACTATACACATAATTAACTAGAGCACCGGCAGTTCTTTAAGGAGTCGTAGCGAAAAAGAGGAATGGTACGAGTTGTTCTCCTATTGTGTTCAACAGTGCCTTCGACCACTTTCGACCACAATTGCAATGGACATTAACGTGCGAGGAAGGAAGCAGGTAACATTCTTTCTTCCTGAATCGCTTTTGAATTAGCTCACTTGTCATATTCACAATTTCATAGCTAAATAGCTTTATCAATAAATCCTCTTATCAAGAGATTCCATTAAATGTTTCCCTTGATCCACTGAGTCCTTTTCCCCCAATGTTTCAGTAGGTAACATCGCTACGTTCAGGTGATTCGTCGTCGCATCGACAATGGCAAAAAAAGTGGTGAGCTGGTAATGGAGACAGCGGCCGACCTTGGGTTGTCACACACTTCTTACGAACTGAGGCTTGTCGTCGGTGAGTACAACTACTCTAGCCACTAATAAGTAGTAATCGTCCTTGAACTAGTGTACGGTACAATATGGCTGTCGTTTCAGGAGAGGGATCGGGAAAAACTTTACAAGGACCGGAGAACGTATATGTTGTCATAATGAGTGAGATTGAAAGACAAGGCATACGGTAAGTGGCAGTCAGGGAAATTGGCAAAGCTTCTATTTCATCAGTACGATTCTTCAGTTGAAGGACATTGTTTCCCAATCAACAGATCACCGATTTTTAAAGTCACAGTTCACGATAATTTTGAGGTTCCTTTCCAGTTTGAAAAGTGGAAGTGTAGATGTAGGGCGGTGCATCGATGGCGAAGGAATTGAGGAAATTCGCTTATCTAGAAAGCTTTTTAAAAGTAATGGAAACAGAGGTGTATGAGATTAACATGACGAGAATGGCATGTAAGACGTGATTGGCGAGATTTCACTTGCTCCAGCTACACAAAGAGCTGATTATATTGAGCCAAAATGGGTTATGACGAGTTGTTTGAACTTCCTACATTAATTATATCTATTCCATCAAATCATGGAAAGGCACCGTTTTTCCGCTTGATCTCTATCTTATCATATATTGCTTGCAACCCAGAAAGGTCCGATTTCGGATTAGCCTGGTTTCGAATTATCTTCTGGCCTCGCTACTCGGTTCTCGCTTAAGAGAAGAATCGCTGCTGAAAACGGCTTCATCTCGGTTTTCACTGTAGCAACTTTTTTGCTTTCAGGCTGTCGGATAGCCAGCGGCAGTCGTTGGATGCTTGCCCGATCGCTAACGCTCGGCTGATCCTTTCGAACATCAAATCATCGAAGAGTTCGTCACCTATGCAGATCGTGAACAATATAAAGTTTGTTGTAATTTCTCTTGCCACAAAGTTTCCAACTCTCAACGGGTGCACAGGACTCATTTTCTTCTTTCCCATACTTTTGACTCCTGAGCTGACGCGAGCAATGCCGAATTGACACCCGTAGTGGGGGTCTCGAATGTAGAGTAAGGAGATATGGCCATAAAACCACCCTTACAACTGACGTTTTATTCTGACATTCTGTGTAGGAACCTCTTTCGACTGCATTCGTCCATCGATTACTTTTAGGAAACGTGTACTGCAACGTAGTGATTCTCGTGGGATATTTGGACGTGAATTAGATGGTCCCACTCCTCCACAACCGGTCATGAGTATTGTCGACCATCTGAGGATGCATGGCTATGACATGGAAGGAGTGTTCAGGTAAACTAGTTTGTCTGTTTCTCGTCTTACTAGACCCACTGGCAACGTCGTTATACAGTATATCTTGGGACTAGATGCCATAATGGTGATCGAATTAGCGGATGAACCCTTTTGTCACGACGGACCTGCCACACTTTCACCTTGATGTTGATCTATGGCATGTTAGAAACCCTTTCTTCGGTATCACACCCTCGACGATGACCTTTCACTTATCACCCGGTTAGAGGTAGAATAAGATAAATAGTTGCGCGAAATGCCTCCTCCGTTCACAGCGAGGTGCCAGAGCTGCAATGCAGGGCACCCAGGGAGCATACGTTTCCGATGTCGTCACTGAACTTCCAGAACCCTCTCACATAAACAGACCCCTCATCATCCTACTGCAATGAACGAAGGTTCATCAAATTCGTACAGGAACATATAGGATCTTCGTAGTCATATCCCGAGGACAGTAAAAGAAAATTATTGAAGGGTAAAAGCTCATGACTTCTGAGCATTAGCGGAGTTCTATTTAATGACTATGCCTGAGCCAATCAAGCCTTCCATCCCTCCAGCGTCCTTTATTTGGTACCAGGCTCTTATGGGAGGATAAAATCGCTGATTTGTACATTGGCTGGCCGCCGCGGTTAATTGTATAGGGAAAGAACATAGGCATTTCACCGCTATGTTTTGGGATAGAAGTTATATGCGAGTGCACATCAGACGGGATCGATTAAGGCCCGAAGACTATCCTTTTTGCCCTTTAACCTGAGAGAATTTCTTCATACCTGAATCAGAGGGGTTGAAAATTGGATCTATGTATTCGTTCCCTTCTTAGTCATTATGTCACCTCAGAGTAACGTTCCCATTACCTCGTTCAGCTTATACCGGGTTTTTGTTTCTGTTTCTTTTTATAGCTCAAATGAGCGGTAATATTCGAACCTGAATTTGATTTGAAGACAGGAGTTAGGAATAAAAAATATGATCAATCAAATTATTACTTCCCTTGGTTTTCAGAAAATCTCCAAAGCAGAGTACTCTAAGAGAATGCCGGTCAGAAATCGAACGTGGACTCGTTCCCGACTACAAAAAGTATGGAACACACGTGCTCGCATCTGTTTTAAAAGTAAGTTTTCCCAACGCTCTCACCAGAACTTGTTTTCAACTCCGAGAACTAGAAGTCATTTCTTTTTGGTGACATCATGAACTTCATTATGACCTGGGTAACGGAACTTCTCCCCGAATGCCCACGGCCTGCGGCAGTGGTTACGCGGCGATTCTCTGTACCCTTCCACTGGGAACTCGAATCTTTCCCTCCCTTTACAACGCGCGATCGCGTGCGGCGAACACGACGCCGTCGGGGAGGAGATACCAGACCTTGATTACCTTATGGCGACATGAGGTAATCATGAGCCATACCATGAATCAGCTTGAGAAACTGGATGTTGTTCTCAAAACTATATGAATAATAAGAGTAATTAGCAAACTGTAGTGCGCTTCCCACATACTCTCTGTTCATTTTCCGAAAGGAGGATTTTAGTAGTAGGGATGATGTTGGAAATTATATCGAACATTATTGTTGTAGCAGACTCCTGAAGGAGGCAAACAAGGCAAATGACACTTCAAAGAATAAGAAGCGGGTTTAAGATTAATTTTGTATTCACAGGAGAAGCTTGTTCCTTCATCACTAGAAGCTCTTTATGTTGCCACATGTGATTATTCGAATGTTTCAGGACTATCTAAGAAGCATCCCGGGTAAAATATTGCTCAGCGGCAACTACGATCTGTGGATCAAAGAGGTGGTGGACGAGGCAGACCATGAGAAAAAGGTTCGAGTGATAAGCAATTATCTGACTTGAAATTACTTCTTAGTCTTATTACAATGAAGAAAAAATTCCAAAGTGATTTTCATTCACAGATTGCTGCCTGTAAGACACTTCTGGGAATTCTGCCCAAAGCACATGCCATTCTGCTCACCAACGTACTCAAGCTGCTCAACAAAATAGCCAGTTCTCCCAGTTCTAAGATGACTGCATCGGCGTTGTCAGTATGTCTGGCACCAAGCTTTCTGGAAAGTTCTGGTAAGTAAACCTTGCTGAAATGAGGAATTCATCAAAAAGAACAACATGAAAGCAGTGCGATCATTATTTTATGAAGAGGTTCAACCAACTTCAGATGAGAAAGTGTTTAATAGATCTATAATCACTGATGGAACCTTTTGAAGACTGTGCAAAATTAAGAAGATGTCCTAACGGAATCAGGAAAAATGATTCTCTAGTTATCCGCTGCTGCTGAACCCCATCAAATGCTTCACAGTGGCACACACATGACACTTGTCATTACCGGCTGTACGGTCCACCACAGCCTTCTATCCCTTTCGGATAGGGCCAGAAAATTTGCGCTTTTTTTTCATATTCTGCCTATTACCTTTTATTTATTGTGTATGCTCTGATGGCAAAGGTGTTGGCATAGGGCCCATTATCACACCACTGTTCATGAGTTCGCATCCAGGACCGATATCCGCTTAAGCCAACCAATACTTTCATCCCTCCGGGGTCGGTTAATTGGTACCGGCCTTGTCTGGGAGGATAAAAGCACTGTCTTGACATCGGCTGGCCACCGCATTCAATACGCCATTACGATTTTGACTGGGAGTCGAGTGCGGGGAGCATCCCCCAAACGCAATTTATGAAACCCCTAAGGCTTATCCTTTTTGTAAGCTGGAAATACATAATTCTTATCAAAAAAATTGGCGACGACGTCTCCACATTAGTTGCCATCTGAAGCAACGTAACCTGTAACCCACTTTTAAGAAATGGCCGTATTCTCTTGAAAAGCTTTTGTTTACGTTAGCCAAGTGGATTATTTTCAATATCCCACGCATAACGATAAGGAGATATGATATTGTTTATCGCTCACTGATGACGACCTCATTATCACTAGTTCGTTTTCATTTTCGGGCATATGTACCCGTAAACAACCGAGGATTTAGGTCACCAATGACACAATAATCTGCTCGACGGAACGGACCCGATTCCATGTAGATACAATGAATTCGAAATGCACGCTGAAATGCTTTAGGGAGGCAAAAGAATAAACATAAAGATAGCAAAGTGAAAATTTTAAGTGGTACTAGGGTTGCCAGTAAAAAAAGAGGAGCTCGATCAAAGTCTTACTTTAATTTTGAGCGGTTTCATTCGGATTGTTTCTCATCATACCCTGTATTTTTCAACAGTTTTATGTTTTCGTTTTGTTAGTGTCGGTGAGAATTCGGTAAATCAAATCGTACCTAAATGACAGAGATAGTCATCTCACAAGTACGGCGAGTTGCGAGTGAAAATTTGACCTCGGACGAGACTCGAACCCGTACTTGTGCTTTCCAAGCACCGTGCTCTTTATCTCTACTTACACTTCCGAGGCCCTACTTGCCCTCGCCTTCCCAAGGGCTTATGTGCCATTATCAAGTAGATTTTTNTTTTTGCCCGTAACTAGCCATCCTTGCGAAAATTTTGCATGGCTACTGCGGCGAAATAGCAGCAGTCAAGCAGAGCATGAAGTCTAGATGATTATCTTTATTGCCAACCACGTATAAAATATATGCCGATTATTAGGAATTAGATTCACTCGATTCAGTTTAGCTGTAGTCAATCATTTGAGGGCTTACTGGAAACTGTGGACCGTGTTCGAATTCCATTCGGACTCGATTTCCCATGAGGATCCATTGATTAGAAAAATCCTCATAGATATCTCAAATTACGAATGCAACATTCCAAAAGATTAACGACAGTTGAAAATCGTGTAGGACGAGGAATGCAAGCATCACGTTTTCAGCTCAATCATCTGATCCGCTGGAAAGTGGCAAGAAGATCCCATTACTGGTCGAGTTCTTGATCTTGAATGCATCAGAAGTGATGCCACCGGGATTCAATTCCGACAATATCTTCTCCATCTTGAATTCAGTACGTCCTCTTTTCTAATTGTCTATTTTGTTTACTTTCCGCTACTTTCCTCACTTATTTTTACTTTTATGGAAATAGAACATTATCTGGAACACGTACAGGTACTGCACTTGTGCCAAAGTACATTTGTTGTGCAGGTTATCCTGAACAGTTTCATCTGATGCAGTGAACAGATGACAGTATCGTATTGCTAGTGATCAAGCAATAGCTCTACGCTGTTTTTTTGGCTACATAGAAAATTTTGTAAGAAAATCAGGGGACATACTTGGGATTTTTGGATCCCCATGATTTTTTGCAATATCTTTTGTCGTCCTGGATAATCTGAAGTCGTAACATCATTCGAGGAAATCATCATACTGGAATTCACCAAAAAATTTTATGAACAGAAGAAAATAGAAAAAGTCATCTCTACGGAAAATTTTGCTGGTAGCCCATGAGTCTGATTTTGTTATGTAATTAGGACTTCTCTAGCTCACTGCAGCTTTGCTTTCCTAATGGTTTAATGTTTTTATTAGGGTAACATCTACCCAGTAACGACAAAAGCGTATCACATTCAAAGATGCGCACCTAATTTTGACGCATTTCCTCTCTACCCGTTACATCCTTTCCTGTTGCTTCTAAGACTTCCCGCCAATGTTTCCGGATCAGCCTGTATGTAATTGTATAGTGCAAACACTGCACATCTACGGTCAAAACAACAAGTGCAGCAAATTCAGCAATGTTATTTATCCTTTTCTGTAGCATATGACCTCTGTTTTTGCCCCATTCCATGAAGCGTCTGTAGGAACTGTACTACCGACTTTATGGTAGCAACTATTAGGGCATGGACATGCCGAAAATTTCGGGGTGATAGAACTGAATGGACGCCATAAATGGCGCGGCTAGGTTCGTGGCGTTTAGGACGACTTTGGCACCTATCATTGGGGCGCAAACTTGAAGTGGAGTTCATTAGTATGGTCAGCTGATCCTGCCAATCTACTCTACTTCAAAGTTGGGCCCCATGGTAGGCGTTAAAGTCGTTTGAGTCGCCACGAATTTCGCCAGGCGATTTGCCGCGTCCATCCAGTTCTGGGTGAATGTACTCATAACCAAAATTTTGAAATAGTACATTTTTCTCGCTGCATTTTTGTAGCAGCTTCTATGGGGTTTCTCGGTAAGGGCGCTACCCTCACATATGCATATACGCATATCCATCTGCCTCTTCCTTGCTTATATTTACGAGTTCGAGTCTGCCCACTCCGCCCCTGAAACCCATTAAAACTTGTGTAAAGCATATTACCTTTGAATCCGTTCTGAGCGGTTCTATGCACACCTCCTTACAAACCTGAAACAAAAAGTTCTAAGGTAAATCTCGATTTGGTAAATTGATCGATATGTCATGCATTCTCGTGATGTATTATATGAGCAGTTTCCTTTTATAGTAATTCTATATGAGTATCCATAAAATACCGATACAACTCGGGACTACCATGAAATTTTTGTTGTACAACCTTAGACTTCAGTTAATCTAGTACTCTGATGTGTCTAACCATGCCAGTAATGATTGCTTTTTCTCAACTATTACCGATGTAGCATTGTCCAACTCCATTACTATGATCCCTTGTAACCTTGAACGCTAGAGGCCTATAGCGACGAAAGTGCTTGGGGATTAAACCCACCCGCAAACATATTAACTTACTCTACAGCGGGTCGTAGTGATAAGTTAAAAATTCGATGATTTAGGTTGATCATAATGCCAATCACTTATGCAGCCCTGAACCGACATGTTCCGACGATGAGGGCTCGCAGCGAACTCCGATCATCGAAGAAGTTGACGGAGGTAGGCATCACAGTATTCAATGGGCTCATGATTGTCGCGACAGAATATTCTTTTTCAGATCAGTTGCTGTCCTCGAGCGATTTTAAGGACGACTTGCCATCTGATAAACCTCCGAGATTTTTGGAAGTAATTCATGAGAATGAAGGTGTAAGTGGAATCGTGACTTACGACTGAGATTTTTCACCCAAGCTTTGAATTTATAAGAGTCTGAGCATGAATCCAACACTTGGCACTTGCCATGTCCACAACCTACATACATGCCTAATCCTGTATCAGGGCATGCCTTGCAATTGTATAACCATAGCGGTTCAAATCATCGCATGGGCAGTGCATTAGAAAGCATATCTGTACGGATATCGCTGTATTGTATTGGCTTAATAAGGGTGGGTTCTCCCTCTGAGAACGACGGCTCCATCAATTGGATTCAGTGGATACCTTAAGTGTTTCACAGTCTTCCTTCTTCGTAGCTTTCTGGAAGGTTCTCATTCTCTAAGTGCTTCAAAGTAGCGGTTCATATCTATCTGTTCGTTCTTCAAAAAATCAGCGCCTGAATCTCAAAACTTTCATTTAAGGTTCTTTCATTTTCTGATTCCGACGATGAAGTCGAACCTATCCGACGGCCATTGTCGCGCGCATCATTTCGCTCTGAAACGTTACGTCAGCAGACTGGCGACACCCTCACGAAAGAGGTCAGATTGTTTGATAAAGATTAGGTGAATTCTGCATGGGAAGCCATCAGGTTTATTTTACAGGAAGTACTCCCAGAGAAATCCGTGTCAAACCAGTTGGTTGACGAGCGAAAACAGCCAGATACACCAAGATCTCCATGCCTGAAAAGGATACATTTCCAACGGAAGGTTGTTCTGAACATATTTCTTGAACAGCGTTCATACCTAAGATTCGAGATTGTGAAATGCGTTTGTTACGACCATGACTTACATGCGGCGCATCTACCGACTATGTCAGCGTCGAGGATTTCATACTTTACGCACTGCTCGTTCCCACACACTTCAAACCGTTGTATTTTGAGATGCTTAGTTGCAAATATGTTTCTGTCAAAAGGGGTTAGCAGCAAGCAGCTACCTCATTATCCAGTTAGCCCCAATTTATTCTGCTATACAGCTTTTTTGTTGAGGTAGGGTAAGTAGAAAGGCTTTGCGGAAGTACTCGATGACGACCATGGCTGTTTGTGCTCTCGAATCGCAAGATCCGAACGCTGGCTTAACTATCCAGCGGTTACGCTTTTTCAAAGGCATGTTTCTAGCAAGAGCAAGTCCAGCAGAGAAGTAGCGAGCTGTTCAAGTTCGATGCTCTACACGAAATCAAACCTGATCGCACAAGAGATGAGAAATGTGTGGTGGGTTCCTTTTTCTAACTCGCCTGCAACTAGGAGCAATGGCTTTCTACAGAGTGAAAGCCTAGCTGGCAAGAAGAAATGATTTCTCTCTGTTTTCTCTTTGTATTTTTTTGTGATTCATCGACTTTCATTTAAACTTCTGCAGCACGGTCTTCTATGAAAGGTTGGTTACTAGCGCAGTACTCGTTAGGAGCTTAAGTTTGGACTTCATACTATTGTAAAAGGAAGAAAAGTTTATTTCAGGAAGAACCACCTTCGCGAAAAGAGTCACGAGAAGAAGCTACTCAGACGCCTGACTGTGGTCTACCACGAATCGGCGATTGCCACTCCCGTTTCCCTGCATTTCGCGGATCTGTCACACATTCTCAGGAAGTTGGTCGAGCTAAAAATTCACCAAAGGATTCAGGACTTAGTAAGCAGAACTTCCAGGTCAGCGATTTTGGGTCAGCTCGTAAAGCTGATGCAATCGTTGAGCCCCAGTTGCGTGCGCCCTCAAAAGAAGGAAATCGCAGTGATGAACCACAAAAACCCACTGTACATGTTCATCCGTTTACGCCAGACGTACCGTCCCAAGAGCCGATCCTTCGAACTATAACAGGTAATGGTGAACTCAGGTCTTCAATAGCTTTTGTTTATCTATTGCAATCGTCCTGTCTTTGTGAGTTGTTCTAAGAGATGCTGTACTGCTATTAATTAATTTTTAACAATGTATAAAACAAACATTGAATCTGGATCTCTGTTTTGCTCCACCCATTAGCTGTTTATTCTGCACAGCCAGAAGTAACGCGATCGCCTTGGTGCCAACGCTCCGTAAACAGCTCTCTAGCTTTGACAAGGCATACCTTGGATGTAAAGCAGTAGAGAGCATAGGCCTGATAACAACAAAGCCTTAGATTGGTACCAGCAAACATAATGCTTCCTTAATTCTGTTAACGTTGACGAGTCTCCCCAATTCGTCTATCAACTCTTCAAGAAAGAACAACCAATAAAAGGATAGAGGGAACGAGACATCACCTTGACCGTTCCCTGAATACTTTTCTACCACGTTGCCGCGTTAAGTAACTTCGGCAGCCCCTTACACATCTTGCAGTTCCGCTATCTTTATTAGGAAAACTTCGAACGTATGAACAGGATGTTCATGCAGGAAGAGAGGAGGGTATCATCGTGTTTGGGTTAAGAAATATGCAACGTGTTCTTAAATGATAAAGACCTGTCAGAAGCATTGGAAATTTATGAGTCTCATATTTTTTATTTTATATTATTTTTATTTTATATTTTCAGAACGTCTACAAAGCCTTCGTGACAACCAGCTAGACGTCAACAGCTCTCCACGACTGTCTCGAAGATCCTTTCCTGCTCCAGATGAGCGGATTCGGTTCAGGGATTCATTCATTGACGTCCTCGAATCGCCCCGCCTTATAAGGAGGTCTTATGAACCTGAGCCATCACCAATGGCTTCTCGACGATCAGTGGTGGACAATCGCGTCTTACATGAAGACTTATACAGCCCTTTGCACAAGTCTCAGGACTTTTCTTTTCGATCAGATTCGGTTCCCAAGTACTGCGATCCACATATCATCACAGAACGGTTTTCCTCATACTGCATTGAGCCGCCTGTTGGTGAGTTTAATGGTTCAGGTTGCGTATCAAACTGCAATGCAAGAGTCTCTGTTCAGATGAACAGCTCAGAAAGGCGGCACCATTGAAACGAGTGGAAATCGTACGAACAGGGTCCCAACGGGAGGACAAAACTTCTTCTGCCATCCAAAAGGATATTCAGAGGTAATTGAATCTCTCTGTTTGTAGTTCATGTTCATGCAATCTAAAAAGGTAATGGGGTGCAGGCTGGCATCCCGAACACAATTCCTTATAGAGCCCTAAAACAATGAATTTGTCAAGTCTCGAGCAACACAGGCGTACATTAAATTAACATGGGGAGGATACTTGGATTGTAAGTACAGTGGTTTACAAACGGGAGTTGTACCAACATTAGATGTTCGATTCAGAGGAATGAAAATTCAGTACGGCACTTAAGTCTTACAAAAACTCACCATAGAACAAAGTGCATGGGTCGCAGAATTTTACAAACAAGATGTTTCCGTTTATGACAGAATCCTATACATTCGAATACACAACTCTCCACCCACCACGTATACGACGCATCGAACGGGCCTTCGGCAGCAGACGGGAAGGGTACTGGGTAGAAAGGAAGTCAGATTTCCATGATGCGCACCTGCTCGAGCCAGCACCCATAGCCGCGATTACTGTAGGACCAACGTGCTGTATCGAACTTCCGTTCTTGTAGATGTAGGCAAGTTCGGTCTGCTGTTGGGTTTTTGCTGCGATTCAGGTTCATTAATCGCTCTCAAAGCATTATCAAGATCAATCGAGTGAGGCCAAAACTTTATTTTACGCAGCTGCTGAAGTTGCTTACACGTAGTGGGTACCTATAGGGGGATGTGAGAGTTCATCATCCACAGAATCGAGGTGCCAGGCTACTACGTTGTACCCACATTCCACTGCTTTCCGGCTCAAACATTACCTTCAAATAGTTGAAGCATTAGGTTTTAGCTTCCTCGAATGTGAGACTTGAATTGAGGTAGCGATGATTCAGAGCTGCATCAGTGAAATCTGTACGACGCGCTGACGCTTGCGTGGGCATGGATTCACTGGAAATCAATTGGAGTGTACGACAACTGAAAACTCTGTTCCAAGATAAGCGAGCTCCCTCCATTAATACTGACTACACAACAAGTTAACCGTTGAGTCGCAATTTTTGAAGTATTTTTTATACGCCATGATTCTGATGTCCACTTGGTGTTTTGTAGATGACTCACGTAGGCTGTACTACCAATTTGTTACCTTGATTGTATTGTTTGTTGTTTCTGTAGGTTCCACAACACACATTCCTTTCCTATTCGTTTCACATTGGTGCTTTTCTCGATTTTTCTGAATTTTCTTTGTATAAAAGCTCGAAAGACAAGCTGTGTCTTAGCCTTCCGATAGGGCGTGGCAAACGTACGGTGACTGGGTACTGCCGGAAGTACGCTAACCAAACGTCTTCAAAGGAAAGTCCTGATCGTTTCTTAAGAAAAAAACCGAATATAGCTGGTCCCTTGTTGAGCCTATTGTCCCAAATGAAACTCCGGACGTCACTGTACTTTTGCTGTACCTCAAAGAACGCGAAGCTATCCAGGGGCGTGTTTTTCAAGCTCCTGAACTGGAATTGGTGTATTTTGTTACTAAAGCTCACATTTTCTATGTGCTGTTTGTACTATCCTCTAGTTATATAAAAACTGCCTAATGAGAACACTGTCAGATAGAAAAGCTCTGAAATATGCACTTCTCTAAAGCCGCAAGTTCCAAGCGCTGTTTAATATTTGACGTTAAATATCTGAAAAACCATTTGATTTCATTGTTAATACCATATGTTATTACGAGGATTGTCTTTCATGTTTATGTTTTCTCAGATGCACACCAAATGAAATTTGGTTTTTTTTAGTATAGAAGCTTGTGTTCTATAGTAAAGAATAATCGTACCACAGATTCAGAAACTGAAAAGCCTTGACTTTTTGGTGTTCGTGATATGCATTGGGTTCTCATTACGCGGGTCTAGACAGTTCTTCTAACCCTTCTAAATCAGTCCTAGTGATCAAGAGCTTGCCCTTTTTAAGGATGTTTGCTTTCTATAACTTACCCAACTTCGAATGAAATTGCAGCAACTCGTAATAGGCTCTACGAGTGGCACATATTCGAATACTCTACGCTATGGGGGAGCGATATTCAATGAATTAACATACAAATATACATTCAGTCAATGGTAGGGAGACCGTCACTAATAGAAAAGCAACAGATACATATGGACCGGGGAACTGAAACTATAGGTGTTAGGTACTTCTTGTCTATGGAAATCCGAGTTGTTACTCGTCAGCGATGAACTTGAACCTTGAGCGGTTGTCTAGTCAGGTATGCAATTTGCATAAACGTCTCATTGTGATTACACTGTCATCTTTTTGAAGATCATGTTCTTGCCTTATACTCAACCAGTCGGGCCGCCCGGCTAACGCCACGCTTCCCTCCTTCTTATGGGTTCGCCCGGCTACGCCGGGCACTCCTTCCTGTGAAAAATTTGCTATGCTTAAATTACACTTCGGATTCTCCTTTTGCTTTGAAAGCTCTACACCCTCAGTATTAGCTCCGGATTGGGAGCGATTTTTTCTGTGAGCCGGTCTCGCTGTGTCCAAGCCGGTCTCGCTGTGTCCGAAAGAACATCGTTTAATATCACAAAGGCGATTATACAGAAAAAAAAGTATTCAGAGACTTCTTCGCGGCTGAGGCTACTATGTTAGCTACCATCAATGTTCCTCAATGCCATCATCAAGGGCTCTCCTCCTTCTTGGGGCGAAGACACTTCGCCCGAAAAACATCGAAATGATTACATCCCTCCCCCTTTTTTCTAGGTTACTTCGCTGTTTCGCTGAGCGAGAG